AGGGTAGTCAGCGATGTAAACTGCTGCTGAGAGTGAGCCCTGACCCATGCATGTCCCGTCAGAGAAGCTGTGAGCATGACAGACGAAGTCTCATAGGTGTGTGGGGACGGACAGATGGAGAGGTGAGGAAAAGTAGGAGTAGATGTTACCTGTGTCTTCTGAGGGGTCTGGGTTTGGTTTTGTTTTGTGTTTTAGAGTGGGTGGAGTAAGAAATGGCACCATGGCAGGGGCCAGAAGAGGTGGGTTCAAGAGATTTATTTGTATAGGACAGGTGACACTAGAGCATTTGTGTTGCTCTTAGGAATAAACCAGTATTAAGCAAGAGACCAGTGAACCCAGAGAGGAACAATGACTCCTGGAGGACACCCTTGACCCTGAAAGGAGAGGACTGTATGAGGCTCAACTGTAAAGGGATGGCTTAGACCAGCCCAAAAAGGGACCTTTGCTTCCGCCTGAGAGCCAGGCCCAGGAGCTCTGGAGCATCACTGTTCCACAGTGGTCATTGTTGCTTAGCAACCGGCGTCCAGCAGTATTTCAACTGAATTCCTAATTAACAGTTATTTCCACTAGTGCTAACTGTTCCCATCGCTGCTTTCCTTCTTCAAATCTGTTGCTTCCAACTCTTTTGTTGAAATGCTTGAATCTGAAAAGCAACGTTTTTATTCCCTGTCCTGTTTGATGGTACGTGTCATGAGACATGAAAAGAACTACATGCCACTGGGTGAGGCTGGGTTTTCTAAAGAAATAAAACCAGTGACACTCATACAAGTATAGAAAATAAATTTATATCAAGAAAATGGCCCACATCGCTGCAGAGTGGAAGGCCGAGTCCAGCTCAGATCCACGGGTCAGGTGCTGAGTTGAAGCTTCGTCCCAACTCATAGCTGCAAATGCCCGGGGAACCAGGAAGCCGGAAGATGACGCAGGAAGCAGGAGGACAAAGTAAGAGCTGGGAAGACTGCAGGCCTGTGGAAGCAGGCGGCCGATAACTACACAGGAGCCAGGCCAGCAGGAGGAAGAATGGAGAGCACGAACCCTCCAGTCTACATATAGATGTGAAATAGGTCCCAAGTAGACGTTATCAGGTTCTGACCTGCACCTTTGAGGAAAGCATTCAGACTCTGAGGAACCTGGGCGGCTATGCTGACACAAAACATCACAGTCAGAGTCAAGAGGGATGTAAGAATCTCACCCGTATAACAGGGAGGGTGCTAAGACTTGCAGGACTTAGATCTTCAGGGTTCCTCCTCAATGAATTCCACTGCCTTGCCCACTTCTCTGCTGTCTCCTAGCTATTTCAAACTAAGCAAAACTCTTCCTTCCATCCTGTCACCCACCCAGACACATCCATTCCTCTCTTAGTTCTTATTATGAGAGAACATGCTGTTATTAGCCACCCAGATCAGGCCTTAAACCTCAGAATCATCCTGGATTTCTCCCTCTTCCAAAACCACCACATAGATAAATGTTGGGTGCCATCAAGTTGATCTTCAACTCCTAATGACCCATCGCATTACAGAGCAGGCGTGCCCCATAGGGTTTCCTAAGCTGTAACCTGTATGGGAGCTGATGCCCCAGGTCTCTCGCGTGCAGAGCAGTTAGGTGGATTTGAACCTCCAACTTTCTGATTAACAGTCAAGTGTTTAACCATGGTACCACCAGACTTCTTAGATACCTAATTACAGCTTCCAAAATATTTCTCCAATTCTTCCACTTTCTTGCATGCCCAAGGGCAAGCCACCATCATCCTTCCTTGGGATCATGACAGGCACCTAACTGGTCTCCCTGCTTTTTTTTGGACCCACCTCTTAGCCAGTCTACAAACAGCAAACAGTGAGTGAAATTTTGAGGCGTATATCGAATCAATCCAGTCCCCTGCCTCCAATACTCAGAGGTTTCTCATTGCATTCCCCTGCCAGCTGGGGCTGTTCTCCATTTTTCTTCTAAATTCTGTGCCTCTGCTCAGAGTGCCCTTCTTGCCCTGACGCCTTCCCAATCTTGCAAGTCAAGGTGTGTTTCCTAAGTAGCATTCATCACACCACTACCCAACTTCCTTCTGGGTTTCCTGCTCCCACACAACCCTCCTAAGTGTCTCCTCAGCAGGAACTAGATGTTTGCTGACTTTCACTGCCTCTGCAGGAGGCTCCAGGGTTGAGATATTCATCTGTTTCCACAGAGCCTGGCATAGTGCCTGCCTGGCATAGAATAGGCATGAAATAAATCTCGATGAGTAAGATGATTTGTCACAAGCAGATTCTCCATATGAGACTCAGCCTGTGCTTTTAAAATAATCATAAAAGCGGAGGGAAGTGGGGAGCTAATAATAAGTACAAGAAAGAAGAAAATCGCTCTCACGTCCTCGCTTCCGAGATTACAAAGAAAATGGCGTAACAACGGTTGTGCTAAGAAAGGCCGCAGTCATGTGCAGCCCATTCGCTGAACCGACTGTGCCCGCTGCGTGCCCAAAGACAAGGCCATTAAGAAGTTCGTCATAAGAAACATAGTGGCGGCTGCGGCCGTCAGACATTACCGAAGCACGACGCATACGTGCTTCCCAAGCTGTACGTGAAGCTGCATGACTGTGTGAATTGTGCCATTCACAGCAAGGTGGTCAGGAACCAGTCACGTGAAGCTTGGAAAGACGGAACCCCCCCACCTCGATTTAGACCTGCAGGTGCTGCCCCACGACCTCCTCCAAAGCCTAGGTAAAGATTAGAAGCGGAAGAAAAAACAAACCTGGAAGGAAATAAAATGGAAATTGTTCTTTAAAAAAAAATGAAAGAAAATATTCTAAAATGGATTGTGATGATTGCACAACTCTTTGATATGTTATAACTACTGAGTTTTATGATATGTGAATTACGGCGATAAAACTGTTCAAAATAAAAATAACAATAAAAGACTAAGCAACCCATAAAGATCGCTCTTGACCGGGGTATTCATTTTCCAGGGCTGCTGGAACTAAAGACCAGAAACTAGGTGATTTATAAAAACAGAGCTTTTCCCAGGTCCAGTGGCAAAGTCTAAATCAGTGTGTGTCTGTCCATTCATGCTACCCTTTAAGTCTCTAGGGAAAGGTCCTTTCATGTCTTTCGCATTTCCTGGAAGCCCCAGGCCTGTAGATGTATCTTCACATGGCTATCCTTCTTCCGTTTCTCTGCATCTCCTCTCTTTTATAGGGCACCGCTAGATTAGATTAGAACACCCTACTCCAGTACCATCATGCAAATGCACCGATTCTTCTGTTGTCTTCATATTCGGCGTTCAATTTTCACATGCACTTGGAAATACCCTGGCTTGGGTCATGCACGCCTTGTTCTCAAAGTAACACATTTGCTTTTCAACACTTGGAAGAGGCCTTGTGCAGCAGATTTACCAAATGTAAAACGTCATTTGATCACGTGACTGCTACTTTCATGAGCATTGGTTGTAGATCCAGGCAAGATGAAATCCTTGACTTCAATCTTTTCTCCATTTATCATGATGTTACCTATTGGTCCGGGATTATGAGAATTCTGGTCTTCTTTACACTGAGTTGCAATCCATACCCAAAGGCTGCAATCTTGATCTTCATCAGCAAGTGTCTCAAGTCCTCTTTCAGCAAGCAAGGTGATGTCATCTGCATTTCACAGGTTAATAAGCCTGCTTCCGATCCAAATGCCACCTTCTTCATATACTCCGTTTCTTGCATTATTTGCTCAGCATTCAGCTTGAACAAGTCTAGTGACAGATGCAACCGATACATGCCTTGCTTGATTTTAAACCTGCAGTATTCCCTTGTCCTGGCAACTGCCTCTTGATCCATGTACAAGTTCCTCGTGAGCACAATGAAATGTTCTGGAATCCCCATTCTTCTCAAGGCTTTGCATAGTCCGTTCTGATGTCACGGGTCACAAAAACAATCTGCATCCTAGTGAACTGGGTAGTGCCAGACTTAAATGCTTGCAAGTGGCGATCTGAATACAGGTTTATCTGCTGGAAATCAAACCAGATTCCTAATTGAAAGGATTCAATCTTGACCCACCTCCTAGCCAGTGAAGTACCACTGCCCCTTCTTTTCTGAGATAATCTCACTCAACTCACTGCCATCGAAGTCGAGGCCCACTCATGGTGCCCTAAGACACGGTAGAACTTCCCCTGTGGATTTCCTAGTTTGTACCTCTTCCTGGGAGTAGAAAGCCTTGCTTTTCTCCTGCACTGAGCAGGTTTCAAACCGCTGACTTGGGGTTAGCAGCCCCACAGGTAACCCACCATACAATCCTATACTCAATTCGTAACCCGTTATACTATACCCAGATACTGTATTTTGATACATGTAAACTTATAACAATGTTTATTGTCCCAACTATAGGGAATTTTCTAAATGAGAAATGATTGCTCTCCTGCTAGAACACCACATGGCAACTTCCATTCCCAGAGAGAAACCCAAACGGGCCGCGGCTCAGGTTTTATTCAGGAAATGTTGGGGGAAGAAAAATATGGCAGGCATGGGAACGCGGGGCGCATTCATGGCACTGTGCACGAGAGTAGAACCGGACTGTGCGCCCCTGGCTGTGCCCGGCGCGGTGCCTACCAACGCCCAGCCCGTGGCTCTGGGCGTTGAATCCCACTCCTCGCCGCCCACAGCGCGGGGCGGACGCCCCCGAGGCTCCCCGAGCCTGTCTGCGCGGAAGCTCGCTTCTCCTGCGGAGCACAGCCCAACCGAGCGCCTCTGGGCCGCCCGGTCTGGACGTGGAGACGGACGCTCACGCGAAGCCAGAAACGTTTCGGCCCCAAGGCCCTCCAGGGCAACGCCGGGCGAGTTCCCCGTCACCATGGCAACGCCGCCACCCGCGCAACCGGCCGGGGAACTCGAAGTCCCATAACCGCCAGCGGCTCCAGGCCGCTGTGGTTGGAAGGGCGCGGGGCCGCGCGGGACGGGCGCTTCCGCTTTCCCGCAGCGTGATTGGCTCCCTGCTCAGGAAGGCGGCCAATGAGAGCGCTCGGGGAGAGCCGCGAGGGCAATATGGCCCCTTTCGCCCGGTGACGGTTGGAGCCACTGTGTTGGGTCTCATGGAGAAGCCCAGGGGCGTCGAGGTGAGCCGGGGAAGGCGGGACCCCACGGGAGTGGCGCGGGGCCCCCGAGCGCTTCGCCCGAGAGCCCTCTTTGGGCTTTTCCGAGGCGCCTTGAGAGTGGAGGGTAGGACGCTCGGCGAAGCGGGGGAGGGGGCAGAGCCTGGGCAAGAGGGGTGGGTCTCGCTTTCCTTCCCCACGACTGGCCTGCCCGTGGGGCGAGCGCTGGAGAAAGGAGCAGCCGCCCTTGAGCCTCCGGTCCCAGGATCTGAGCTCTCCCCGGCTTCCTTCCTTTCCTCGTCTCGTGGTCACGTTCTTTTAAGAACGTGTAGCTTGTCACGCACATCCCTGGTGCGACTGTGAAGGGAGGTTAGTGTTGAAGGATCACTCGCCACGTGCCTTATCTCCCCGTATTCGGTGCAGTCTTATCATTTCTTTCCTAAAGTTCGTGCATCTGAGGCTTAGAGAGGCGCTGCCGCTCCCCAGGAATGTCCCACTCCAAGCCCGCACCCACCCACCTGCTTTCCCGGGAGAGTGAAGGAAGTGTGCACAGAATCTGCCAGGCTTCCATACCCCACCTGCGGACTTTCCCACGCTCCTGTGACCAACCTGTAACCCACCCACTCTTTCATCATTTGGCTTCTGGGCACCCCACAATTGAATTCAGTGTTCTCCCTACCACATTTAGACCTGTCATTGCAAATAGAAAATGGAATCGCTCCAAACATTACATTGTCAGAGTGCTGAACTGGAGAGGAATTAGAGCAGCTCCCCCTTTATTTCTGCAGTAGAACTATACCCTGTGTGACCCCATCCTTGCAACAGCTCTCTAAACCAAGGCTTCTTCGTTTGGCTGACGCATGAGGGGACCTGGGGAAGGAAGCAAGATTAAATAGCGTGCCCCAGCTACAGTTAGTGTGTAGGGTCAGCATTCACGTCCTGCACATCTGATTTGAAAGGCCATACTTTTGACTGGGCAATTTCTATTTTCTCTAGACTTGCTGGAAAGTTTTTTTTTAAAAAGCTTTTTAAAACCAAATGAATTACTTGATACAATTAACTTTGTTTTTAAAAACATTATTATTATTTTTAACATAACCAGTAGTGATGATAATCAAAAGCACCCCGGTGGTGTAGTGGGTTAGGAGTTGTACTGCAAACGACAGGGTCGGCCGTTTGAAACCACCAGCTGCTTCTCCAGAGAAAGATGAGGCATTCTCCTGTAAAGGGTTACAGTCTCCTAGAAGCTAACCTTTGCCATATTGGGTCGCCGAGAGTTGGGATCAGCACTTTGACAGTGTGTTTTTTGAGTTTGGGAGAGAGACTTTTGACCCCTGGTTCAGAGCTTAAACTCTTCACTTGGCTATACCTTTTTTACTGGAAGCCAGGTAGGTATATCTAAAGGTTTTGTTTACATCACAAATATATTTGAGCACACTGAGGCCCAGGGAGATTAAGTAACTTGGTCAGGCACTCAGAGCTGGTTAGGATCAGAACTAAATCCAAAACTGTGGTACTTAGCTCAATACCATTATTATCTGTGTGCCAATTGCCTCCCCACAAATCCTTGTTGATACAATCTGGGTCCCCGATGAATTGCCTTTCCCTGACGTAAACTGTGTTCGAGTTGCTCTTTTAGTGAACACGTGCTGAACAGGAAGATGGGGTTTCTTGCACGCCTTGTAGCTCATGATCATGAGGTGTCTTCCATAGGGTATTTTCACAATGCTGTTTCCTATGTACACCAGGTAAACGACGTCATTTTTACATTCACACAGGAACCTGGTGAATTCCTAGCATTTATTTTTCCATCCTTGTAAAGGTGGGACAAAGATGTGGCACTCCGCTTCCATCAAGTATACAGGCTTGGAAACCCAGTGGGGCAGTTTTCCTCTGTCCTGTAGTGTCACACTGAGTCGGCAGTGACCCAAAGGCAATCGATTTGTTTATTTGTTTGAAAGCTCTTGAGTTGTGGGGAAATAGATGAACAGGAATCATGATCCTCCGGTAACCCAGAAAGTATTGATTCAGCAGACCTGGGGAGGGGGCCATCCTTCCCACACTTTGAGCCCATCGTGATTCCTCCTCGCTTTTTGTGTCATCCCGCCTCCAGGAGACCCCCTCCTCAGAACCCATGGAGGAAGAGGAGGAAGATGACTTGGAGCTCTTTGGTGGCTACGACAGCTTCCGGGCTTATAACAGCAGCGTGGCCAGTGAGAGCAGCTCCTACCTGGAGGAATCCAGCGAAGCAGAACACGAGGCGCGGGAAGCAGGGGAGCTGCCCACTTCGCCCCTGCATCTGCTGAACTCAGGGACACCCCGCTCTTTGGATGGCAGCGGTTCTGAACCAGGTGTGTTCAGAGTGTGTGCTGCAGATGGGAGGAGCCCGGAGGCCCTGGAGGAAGACACGCCAAGGGCCACTGGGGCTGTTCGATCTGATATCAAGGGATGGGCTGTCTGAGGAGCTGGGAGAGAGACAAGCACCCTGTGTGGCCACAAGAACCACCTCTCTGCTGTCGCCGGATTTCAAGCAATGTTTTCAGACTTCATTCCATACCCAGCATGCACTAAGTAGCAGCCATCAGTTTGTGTGAGCAGCCTCGGGGGCTGCTGAGTCTGGGTGTTGGGAAGAAAGGGCAGCAGAAGTGCTGATTGTACTCTGGGAAGGGACCAGAAACAAGGGGTGGGTTGGAATTGGAGGGGAAGGGAAGGGAAACAGTGTGGGTGGGTTACTGTTGACACCCACAGCCCAGGAGCCAAGCAGCTTATTTCCAAGACAGTAGGTTTCACAGGTGCACCCAAGAACTGGCGGCTCATGGGATTCTGGCTCTGCCTGCTGCAGAAGGGGCTGGGGCTCACCCGGTTAGTGTGATGCCCCTGGTTTGAAATGCCCTGGGCGTTGTGGGATGTGGGGAGACCCTATTGGGAGAGTCACGTGCTAATTTCTCTTCCAGCTGTGTGTGAGATGTGTGGGATTGTGGGCACAAGAGAAGCCTTCTTCTCCAAGACCAAGCGGTTCTGCAGCGTCTCCTGCTCCAGGAGCTACTCCTCCAACTCCAAGAAAGCCAGTATCTTGGCAAGATTACAGGTAAGAGGCGCCTGTGTGGGAGACTCTTCCAGGGTAGCCCGGGTGCCAAGACAGGAGCAGCTCACTCCCTGACAGCAGAGGCCATCTGTGGCTGAGGACCCTGTTTGTGCTCCTCTGAGGTTGGAAAATGAAGATCTTAGACTCTCCAGCTTGAGAGGCAGAGGAACTCATTGAGGGGACTCATTTAAACACAGAGCTGTAGCCTCCACCCAACCCTTTCCCTGTGATCTGTTCGCTGGATTGTAAATCGGCCCCTGGGAGTACTCCCTCTTGTCCCACACCTCAAACATTCTGAAAGGAAGGAAGCAGGAGGCAGGCACAGGGTCTGCGGCCTTCTGGGAGTAGGAAATTGATGCTTTGTGTTGTCATAGGCGCCACCTGGGAATTCTGGCTCAGCCTTTCATGAAGTATTGACAAGAATAGGACTTTGAGAGATTTGAAGGATTCTTAGAGATACATTTTGGCACTCACCTGTTTTATTTTTTTAAAACTATTTTCTATTGTTCTAAATATGTATCTAGTACAACTCTCGCTATTTTCAAAGTTACACATTGCCTGAGGGAGAAGGGAGAATGACTTGCGGTGGGGGGCGGGGGGCACTTCTCCAGTGCTCAGCCTGTGCTCTTTCATTGCCACCCTGGAGAACACCCACCATGCTAGGCCCCAGACATGGCCGCACAGTGGCATGAATGACATGGAACATTTAAATAACGGATGCTTGGGTGTCTCCTCCCAGAGTGGCTGCCTTAGTGGGGGTGGAGGGTGGCCTGGCCTCCGGAGGCTCCCTGGACAGGGAGGTGTGCTGGACAGGAGCTGGAGGGCTGACACCAGAGGGAGGTTGCTGGGCGCCAGTTCACACACTGTATCTCACCTCTGAGAACACTTCTGTGAAACAATCCCTCCGTTTTTTTTTTTTATTGTGGTTTAGTTGATAAGAGCAAATTAGTTTTCCATTCTACAGTTTATACCTTTTTGGAGACTCTTGTCTTCATTTTGTCAACTGCATTGCCCTGGTTTACAAATGAAGACCCGGGAGAGGTTAATAACTGGACTAGGAGGTAAACCTGACCACCTGAACCCCAGGTCTCTCTTCATCCCTCCAGGGCAAACCACCCACCAAGAAGGCCAAAGTCCTGCACAAAGCTGCCTGGTCAGCCAAGATTGGAGCCTTCCTCCACTCCCAAGGGACGGGCCAGCTAGCAGATGGGACACCAACAGGTCAAGATGGTATGATGGTGCTCAGGAGGGGTGAGGAGGGGAGGTGGACAGGACTGGAGTGTGAGGGGTGGAAACCAAGGCCGGCAAAGGGTCTAGACCAGTGATTCTCAACCTTCCTAATGCTGCCACCCTTTAATACAGTGGCTCATGTTGTCGTGACCCCCAACCATAAAACTATTTTCATTGCTACACCTTAACTGTAATTTTGCTACTGTTGTGAATCCTATTGTAAATATCTGATATGCAGGATATATTAGACGACCCACAGGCTGAGAACCACCTAGCGTGGATTGCAGCAGCTTCTGCTGGGTGTTAGAGAAATGACCCCAGAAAACCCCTTCCAAACCAAACGTACTGCCATTGAGTTGATCCCAACTCATAGCGACCCTATAGGACAGGGTAGAACTGTCCCCGAAACTTTCCAAGACTAACTTTACGGAGGAGAAAGCCCCACCTTTCTCCGTGGAGCTGATGGTGATTTTGAACTGTTGATCTTGCGGTTAGCAGCCCAATCAATGTGTAACCACCGTGCCAGCACGTGCTATCCTGGAGATTCAGAAGCCCAGAGTGACTTCTTTGACTCCTCTCTGCTGCCATTCCGTGGCTCCTGGGCAGGGGAGGCCCAAATGTGCTTGGAAGAGGGGTGGGAAGAGGCAAGGAGTTACTCCAGTGAGCAGGTGTCCCAGATGCTAAGCCAATCAAATGTAGGGCTGAGCCGGCCGCTCTCACACTGGTTGGGCGTGTGGAACTCACCAGCCTGCCCCCTTCGGACAGGGTGGGGCCAAGGGCAGGTAGGGGTAGGGCCAGGGGTTTGAGTTTCCCGCTCTCCCAGCAGGAAGAAGGGTGAGGCGTTTCCCCTGAATGCTTCCTCTAAGTCGCCTGCTGGTAGCCTTTAGATTGGTTGCTCTTACTGGTCCCCATGGCCACCTGTGGGACAGGCTCAGGAGCTGGTAAGTGGGTGGGGAAGGGGTCTGGCTCCTAGGAAGGCTGCAGCCCTTCCCTACCCTCCCCTACCCCTGCTTTGCAGCACTGGTCCTGGGGTTCGACTGGGGAAAGTTCCTGAAGGATCACAGTTACAAGGCTGCTCCTGTCAGCTGCTTTAAACACGTGAGTCCTGGGAGGTGAGGGGTGGGACGAGGTGGGAGCTGCTGGGTCTGGCCCTCACCCTCTTCTCATCCACCTACTTCGGGTAGTGGCTCAGGACCGGGCAGGCCCGTTGGCCCGTGGCAGGCAGATACCAACACCTCTGAAACCCACTTCTGCCAAGGACTGGGCCCCCGCATCGAGATACACCAAGGGGTGGGGAGGCCCTGGCGGGCTGGCCTCAGAGGGAAGGCCTTTTTCCTGGGCAGCTGGAGCCCAAGGGTCTGTAGGTATCAGGATGCCCAGGGTAGCACTCTTGCTTTGTCTTTCAAACCAGTTTTCCAGACGAGGGGAGGCTCCTCCTTTCTGAACTGGCCCAGACCTGGGACTGGCTGGGGCTTCACTTGGCTCCTCCAATTCCTCTTCTTTGAGTTGCTAATGAAGAAACCTTCTTTGGTCCGAATTCCATAGGGGATTTCAGGGGGAGTACACCGGACCACATTTATTAACACTTGTTCCAATGTGTTCTGCCTAGAATCCACTCCCCCTGGCTTGCCAACGCCAGGCATGTGCTTGGCTGGAAGTGGAACCAACCAGGGGGATGGGTGGGGCTACCTGACTAGCTAGGGGGGTGGGCGGGGCTACCTGACTAGCTTTGGCCAGGGCTGACTAGGCAAAAGGTGGTGACTTCTGCCCCGGGGAAGGAAAAAGATCCTAAGTTCAGATGTAATTTATAGTCCTGAACTCTTGACCCTATTGGGCGAGTTATTGAGACTAGCTGTAGAGGAGGAGAAAGCCCCTCTTTGCGCCTACCTCGCAACCACTATGCCGTGAGGGCTCCTGTATGTAATGTATAAAGACACATTCAACTTTTTTTTTGCCCCCTTTGTCCAATTCTTTATTTACAATATCTCACTATCTATAATTCTTTTTAAAATTATTATTAAGAGATCACTTTATTATGGGCTCTTACAACTTTTATAACAATCCATAGGTTCAGTGTATCAAGCATATCTATACATATGTTGCCATCATTCTTTTTTTTTTTTTTTCTTAAATTTAATTTGTTCATATATAAGGTTTTTTTATATACAATCAGTATGCATTGTAACAGTTTATATTAAAAGTCAATCAAGTTTATCTAAAAGGTTACCTGGCTGCATAGGACATTTGACATTAGTATTGCCACAGGAAAAGGAAAACAAGTGGATTTACAATAACTTTTGGCTGTTTTGGATTCTGAGTATTCGTACATCTACCCTTTAAACTAAATGCATCTGAAAAAAGATGTTTCCAGAGCATGCAGTTTAAATATTACATATAATATCTCACCATTTTATTACTACACAGTATGACTAAAAAAAGGGGGGGTTGTGGCATGTATCTAATAAAATATTCAATATAAAAAGAGGACCAATGGAGTTAGCCATCATTCTTTTCTAGACATTTACTTTCTGTTGAGTCCTCTTTTTACCCTCTCCCTCCCCACACTCAATCTTTTATTTATTTTTAAAGCATTTTATCCCACAATCAATCTTAAACAGGATAAAGACAAATCATCCGGACTAGGGAGACCATCAGCACAAGGTTTAACAGTGTCTGAGGATTTGTAGAAACACAGCCCCTTAGCTGGGATCTGGGGGAGCAAAGGAGAGTGTCACAGAGCATGTTGGGTGGCAGATCTGTTTGTCGAGTGGCAGGCAGAGCTCCAGCATTGGGAAAGGCACCCTGATTGATGCGTATACTGTTTGAGTTTACAAAAACTTACAAGATTGGTTCAGGGCCTTCCAACCCAGACTGTCAGGACTACTTGGCCTTAATACCCTAAATTCCATCAAGGGCACACCCAGCCAAGCCCCTGAGGGTGAGCTCCCCTGCTCTCAGGTGGCTAGGACAGTTTAGTAGTCCACTTTGGTACAGACTCTGCCTCAGGGCAAAGCTTTTCACATTGCCCATCAGTGGTCAGAAAGAATTCATTGAAAGTTGAATCAATGTGGAGACTCAAATATGGATTTAGGGCTCACACCTTAAAACCAGAGCCTTCTGTAAACATAGTGCTAAGCATTCTAAGCTCTAATACACTTCCACCAGAAGCATCGAAGTTCTGTTGACAGCAACCAAGCAATTAAAAGACCCAACCCACAGCCATGTCTTCAATCCCAGCTCCTAGCAATCCTGTAAGAGAGGGTAAAATTGACCCTACCTTAGGGTTTCCCAGACTTTAAGATTTTATGGTAACGGACAGCCTTATCTTTATCCCTCAAAGCAGCTGGTGGGTTTGAGTTGTTGACGTTGTGGTTAGCAGCCCAGTGCTTAGCTCACAGTGTCACCAGGGTTTCTTGTTTGCAGCAAGGTGAGCATTAAATATCAAAGAGGCAGCCACTAAAGATGAGCCTAATACTGGCAGTTGGTGTTTTCACAGAGGCGGAGAAAGAGGGGGCCAGGCATAGTGCATGGACGCAAGTTCTCTGAGGGGTAGCAGGTGGTGCTGTCAAATGTGGGGGTGACAGTGCTGGCCACAGCAGTGGGAGGGCAGAGGGAGGTGGTGGTTGTGCAGATGGCAATGCAGGGTAAGCAGAGGGAGTATTGGCCACTCTTGGAGCCCCAGGCAACCAAGGGCTTGAGCCTCACCAAGGTTCATACAGTCCCAAGCTGGTCCTGTAAATATCAGAACTCAAGGCCACCTGACTCCAGTCCCTAGCCATCACCCCTGGTGACCTGGAAAAGTGTGTCTAGGTGTACAGAGCCATGGCTCCTGAAGCGGACGGTCGGCCTTGGCTGCTGGCCTCAGCAGCTCTCCCACCAGGAATCTCTCACCCCCAGGTCCCGCTCTATGACCAGTGGGAGGACGTGATGAAGGGGATGAAGGTGGAGGTGCTCAACAGTGACGCGGTCCTCCCCAGCCGGGTGTACTGGATCGCCTCTGTCATCCAGGCAGCAGGTGGGCATCTCGGCAGGATCTCCCCTAGTTGGGTGGGCAGCAATCGGCCTAGAGCAAACCTCTGTCATCCAGGCAGCAGGTGGGCATCTCGGCAGGATCTCCCCTAGTTGGGTGGGCAGCAATCGGCCTAGAGCAAACCTCTGTCATCCAGGCAGCAGGTGGGCATCTCGGCAGGATCTCCCCTAGTTGGGTGGGCAGCAATCGGCCTAGAGCAAACCTCGAACTGGAGTGTGGGCCCCTTTCTCCCATCCTACCTGTCTCCGCAGGGGCCACAGGTGGGCACATTGGGAAGCCCTCATTTGTCAGGTTTACTGGGGACGCTGAGGCAGTGACCATTGCTTCTTGCCCGGATGCTTTCCGAATAAGTGGCCGGCTTTGTTCTGGCTGTAACCAGTGGAGCCTGGGCCCTGTGGGCGGCGGGGAGGCCATGGAGGCGAGGGAAGGCCACTCCTCGTCATCCCGCCTCCCCTTCCTCTCAGGCTATCGGGTGCTGCTCCGCTACGAAGGCTTTGAAAATGACGCCAGCCATGACTTCTGGTGCAACCTGGGAACCGTGGACGTCCACCCCATCGGCTGGTGTGCCATCAACAGCAAGATCCTGGTGCCTCCTCGGAGTGAGTCCAGGGGAACAGCTCCTGCCCTGTTTCGTTGGCAGGGAGGGGGCAGCTTTGTAAGAGGAGGAGGGGCCTTCTGTCTTTATGGAAGAACAGATGGACCCTGCTGATCTCCTGCCTTTCCCTGCCAGAGGCCCTGGGGCAGGGCCAAGATGCGCTGGTCAGAGAGGCAGCAGTGCACTGTCCAGGCCTGTCTCCTGCAACCGGGGTTCTGCTTCTGTCTCTGCAGCCATCCACGCCAAATTCACCGACTGGAAGGGCTACCTCATGAAGCGGCTGGTGGGCGCCAGGACCCTCCCAGTGGATTTCCATATTAAGGTCTGGCAGTGAGCACAGGAGGGGCTAACGTGCTCCCTACCATCATCCCCCGGGGCTTTCCTTCTTACCTTTTTGAAATAGACTCTATTTCTCAGACAGTGTTGACCATGATGACCAAGAAACCCTTACGGAGCCATGCTTCTCTGAAGTTGTGGTGACTTTCATGGAAATGATGCGGGATGCCGGTCCTCCTGAGCGCCCCCTTCTGGCTCCGCATCCCTCATGTTAACATCCTGCCCTCCCCTCTGGTGGTGCCTTCTGAAGACCAATTGAGTTCCCCGTTTGGGTTGTGTACTACTCTGTTACTGTCGTTGGTGTTGTTAGGTGCCTATGAGTGTGCACACAGGAACGTAACCCTGCCTGGTCCTGCACCCTCCTCACGGTTGGTCTTAGGTTGGAGCCCATTGTTGCAGCCACTGTGTCTATCCATCTTGGATTGAAAAAAGGTCTTCTCCTTTGTTCACTGTCCCCTCCACCTCACAGGGACCGGTCCCTGTAGTGAGACAAAAAGTATGGCCATCCTTGTCTCGTAAGGAGCACTCTGGCTGTACTTCTTCCCAGACAGATGTGTTTGAGATTTTGGAAGTCCATGGTAATTTCAATATTCTTCACCAGCACCACAATTCAAATGCATTCATACTTCTTCTGTTTTGTTTTGTTTTTAATTTATTATTCAGTGTTCCAACTTCCACATGCAATGTGAAATAGCCATGACTGAAAATACCATGGCTTGGGTCAGGTTCACCTTAACCCTCAAAGTAGCACCCTTGCTTTTCAACACGTCACAGAGGTCTTGTGCAGCAGATTGACCCACTGCAGCTCGTCATTTGATCTGCTTATTGATGCTGCTCCCATAAGCATTGATTTTGGATCCCAACAAGACAAAATCCTTGATAACTTCAACTTTTTTCTCCGATTATCATGATCTTATCTGTTGGTCCAGTTTGAGGATTCTGGTCATCTTTACATTGAAGGCTGCAATCCTTGATCCTCATCAGCAAATGTTTCCGGTCCTCATCACTTTCAGCAAGCAAGGTTGTGCCATCTTCCTATCTCAGGTTGTTAATAATAAGCCTTCCTCCAATCCTGATGCCCCATTCTTCCTCCTCCATGATATCTTTTGTGATGATTTGCTGAGCACTCTGATTGAATAAGCATGGCGAGAGGATTCAGCCCTGTGCCACACCATTCCTCTTGAATCTGCCAGTCCTCACTTCCTTTGTTGCAGTCATTGTCAGCCATCTTACCACAAGGTCAACCGTTCGAACCCACCAGCCACTCCCTGAGAGAAAGATGACCCTAGCTGCTTCCGTTACGATGAACAGCTTCTGAAACCTGAGCAAGCAGCTCCTCCCTGTCCAATAGCGTCAATATGACTTGGAATCGATGCAACCACAGCAGGTCCATCATTACAGTATTTGACAGAATGGTGCCCCTCCCTACCCCCACCCCACACTACAAATGCTCTGTGCACCACCTGGTTCCCCCAACAGCCTCTGATCTTTGCCTTCTCTATAGTCTTGTTTTCTCCAGCATGGCATAGCCAGTCAGACACCGTAACATCCGACCACTTAGACACCCATAAACGCCTAAGATGACAGCCAGGCTGTAGTGGACCTAAGGGACAGAGCTAGGGAACGAAGTTGCTTCCTGTGCACTCTATGTGTTTCTTGAGTCTCTTGACTGCAAAGCAATTGTGCTGCCGCTGGAGGTAGCCTGTACAGAAGATCTATAACCTATCATGCAGAGTCTTGGTCGTCAAATGCCTAGGGTTCTGGCATATATATATATAATATAATCAGTGAATGCAGCTGCCCACGATGGAGGCCCGTCTGGCTGCTAACTGTATAATCAGGTGTTTGTACAACAGCCAAATCATGTGCCATTCTTTCATAAAATGTATTGTTGACATGAAGCCAGGCATACATGATTGTTACTAGAGTTATGTAACATGTCTCATTTTATACGTGACTTAGCAGTATGCATTTAGGGTTCTTCTGTGTCTTTGGGAGGGGGGGGTTGATAGCTTGTTATCTTGATCGCTGAGTAGTTAGTACTGCAGTATGTGCTGTAGCAGTTGTTGCTTTCTTAGTGACCAAGAGGTTCAGTTGGTGGTTCAAACCCACCAACCATCTCATGGAAAGATTATAGCCTTGAAACTCTATGGGGCAATTCTGCGTTACCTGAGGAAGAACCTGGCATTGGGTTTTTGGTGTAGTAGGTTGCTCATTGGGCTGCCAACTAACTCCAAGGTGAGAGTTCAACTCCACCAGTTCTCTGCCTGTGGAGTAGCTCAGCCTTGGGACCAACTCCAGGGCAGTGGGTTTACACTTTACTGTGTTTCGTTTACTCTTCCATCGGTTGAGGGGCGTCTGGTTGCTCCCAGTTTTTAGCAGTGTAAGTAAGGCCATGCTATGCATTCATGGGTCTTAGCTTTTTATGTGGCTTCTGCGCCTCTCATTTAGTACCATGTACACTCAAGAATAAGCCGACCCAAATATCAGCCGAGGCACCTAATTTTACCACAAAAACTGCATTAAAACTGTGCTGGAAAACTCTATACACAAGTATATGTGGTAAACACCTAGCCCCAGCCGGCGGTGGGGGTGGCAGGTAAGGAACTGCTAGCCTTGTCTCCCTAGCCTCTCAGTGTGCATTCCCCTTGGTAGTTAGGGAGAGTGCCCCTTGCTCCACATCCTTGCCAGCTTTGGGTGGTAGTGGTTTTGGACTGTAGCCATTCTAGTAAATGTAGTGGCTTCTCATTCTTGTTTTGACTGGCAGTTTCCTAACGATGTGCACAGCCGAGCAGTTTGTCTTGTTTGGTTTGGGTTGTCTGTGTCTCTTCAGACCCTTTGCCCAGTTTGTAGTTGATCTGCCTCTTTGGGTTTTACATATCCTTGGTATTAAGTACAAGTCCTTTTTAGCTGATGTGTGCTTTGCACATATTTCTTCCCTGTATTGTCTTCTCCTTTTCTTAGCGTCATTCTCTAAACAGAAGTTTCTGAGTTTAGGGAAGTTGCATTCATCCATCTCTTCTTTTCTGGAGTGTGCTCTGGGTCTTTGTGCCCCAAAAAGCCATCGCCAAATCCAAGGCCACCTGGCTTCCCCTCTGTGCTCCTGTCTTCTGGAAGTTGCAGCGTTGTGCATCTTACACTTCACTCTGTGATCCATTTGTACTTCGATTTTTTTTTTTTTTTTTGTGAAAGATGGAAATTCTGTGTCTTGACTCATTTCTCTCTGCTACTTTAACCCATTCTCCCTGCCATTAATTTGGAATAACCCCCACCCCTGCTCCAAGGCTCCCTTTGGGACAATCTTCAGCACCTTCACACGTCCCAAGATGCCTCCAACTCTGCCACCATGTGTGCCATCTGCTGCTTCAGCCTCTTGCAGGCTCCTCTTTCAGCCACATGGATCATGTCGCAGTCCACCGGGAATTCTCTCTGACCCGGACTTAGCTCATAGCAGCATCTAGCTGTGCATTCATTCAGTGGATTGGTTAAGCACTGATTGTATAATACTTTTCTTTTCTTTTTTAATCATTTTATTGGGGACTCCTACAGCTCTTATCACAACCCATACATGTATCCATTGTGTCAAGCACATTTGTACATATGTTGCCATCATCATTTTCAATATTTTCTTTCTACTTGAGCCCTTGCTATCAGCTACTCATGTTTCCCTCCCTCCCCCGCCCTTCTTCCCTCATGAACCCTTGATAATTTATAAATTATTATTTTTTTCATGTCTTACACCGACTGTTGTCTCCCTTCACTTACTTTTCTATTGTCTATCCTCCTGGGAGGGGGTTATATGTAGATGATTGTGATCAGTTCCCCCTTTCTCCCTCCCACCTTCCCCTTCCCCTCCTGGTATTGCTGCTTTCATTATTGGTCCTGAGGGGTTTATATGTCCTGGATTCCCTGTTTTGTGAGCTCTTATTGGTACCTGTGTCCATGCCCTCGTCTAGCCGGATTTGTAAGGTAGAACTGGGGTCGTGATAGTGGGGGTGGGGAGAAGCATTAAAGAACTAGAGAAAAGTTGGATGTTTCATCAGTGATATACAGTACCCTGACTGGTTCATCTCTTCCTTGTGACCCCTCTGTAAGGGGATGTCTAATTGTCTACAGATGGACTTTGGGCCTCCACTTTGCATTCCCCCTCATTCACATCGATAAGATTTTTTGTTTGGGGTCTTTGATGCCTAATACCTGGTCCCATTGACACCTCATGATCACACAGGCTCATGTGCTGCTTCCATGTGGACTTTGTTGTTTTTCAGCTAGATGGCCGCTTGTTTATCTTCAAACCTGTAAGACCCCAGACACTGTATCTTTTGATAGCCAGGCACCATCAGCTTTCTTCACCACATTTGCTTATGCACTTATTTTATCTTCAGCAATCGTGTCAGGGAGGGTGAGCATCACAGAATGCCAGGTCATTAGAACAAAGTGTTCTTGCATTCTGGGAGTACTTGAATGGAGGCCCAATGTCTGTCTGCTGCCTTAATATTTAACAAATAGATATAAATACATAGATCTATTTCCCTATCTTATATATAAATGTATTTACATACCTATATATGTGCTTGTATTTTTTTTTTTTGCTTGTATTTTTTTTGTTGTTGTTTTATGTGCTTGTATTTAGACTTCTGGAAATGTCCTTTGCTTCCTAGTTCTTCTATTTCTTTTTACTTTCCTCTTGTCCCACTATCATGTTCGGCCTTCGTTCGGGTTTTGGTAATTCCTCTCTGCTACATTGCCCTTGATCAAGCCCCCTCAGGCATCCTATGCCCTCCTCACCATTGATTTTAGATCACGTTCTTCCCTTGTCCCAAGGTTTGTTGACACCCCCCTTACTTTCTTCACCTCCCTCTCTCCCGTGTCCCCCTTGGAATCATTGGTCCCATTTTTTTCTCCTCTGGATTGCCTATCCCGCCTATCTTATCTAGATAGACATGCAGAAACAATAATGAGAACAAAAATGAAGCAAAACATAACAACAAAACAACAAAACCAACAGCAAAAAAAGAAGAGCCTTTAAATAGTTCCAGGTGGAAAAAAAATTTTTTTTAAAATATTTCCAGGTTTGTCTGTTGACCTTTATGATTATTTTCCAGTTGAGTCTGATGGGGCGCCACACCCTGGCCCCAAAGTCTGTTTTTAGTATTCCTCGGGAACTTCGTTGCTTTGCTCCCCTTGCTGCTCTGCTGTGTGCCCTTAGTGTGGTCGGGTCAGATCAGGCACACCTTCCTGCACCATGTCTCCTGTGCTGTCCCCCGTGGCACTATGGGTCAGTGAGGGATGTCATGTGTCGTGGTGAGGCCAGCCCTATGGTCCTCCGTGCGTTGGCTGCTCTGAGCCAGGATATATTCCTCTGGGCTTGTTGGGCCAGGATGTGTTCCACTCTCTCTCCTCCCCTCTTCATTTGCTCCTGATCAGAAGCGCCTCTCTTCCTGAGCTGCAGCTGTAGTGCTGCCTTCTGAAGTGCATTCTTCTGGGAGGAAGTGGGGGAGGGGAGGGGGAGAGATGGGGGACAGTGGGGGGGTGTCAGTCTGTAACTCTTTACAGGAGTAGAAAGCCTCGATTTTCTTCCAAGGAATGGATGGTAGCTTTGAACTGCTGACCTTGCAGATCACAGCCCAACGTGTAAACACAATGCCACCAGGGATCCTTCAATTAACCAGAGCACCTCCAGGACAACCGTGATCTCAGCAGCCAGGTCCGCAGAGAGCGGGAGGACCAGAGAGCTAATATTTAGTCTTTAATGTATGTAATTTATTTCGTTTTTGTGGTTGAGAAGACACATAGCAACATGCACCAGTCAGCCATTTCTGCATGTACAATTCGGTCGCATTAATAGCAGTCTTTGCAGGTCCGTTCATGCCCTCCTTTTCTGCTGTTTTCTCTGCCCCCCACATTAACACCTGAGTTTACCATCTAATCTTTCCGGTTGCTGTTTGAGCCCCTGTGGGAGGATCTTCAAAGAATGGTCAAGACAAACATCCTTTAGCTAGAGCACAGACATTATATGGTGTTAAGTGTATGTGAATTGTATGGTGTTAAGAAGATATGAAGGGATGTTTTTGGTTAAAAGTTTAAAGATGAGCTCAAGGCAATAGTTTCAGCGGTTTGCCTATCCTCTGTGGCTCTGGAAAGCCTAGATTCCATGAGACTTTGATATTCTGCCCTGTATCTGCCCACTTTGGGTACAGAATTCTCAGGTAGCATTTTTATGAAAACGCTCAGAAATGGGCACCGGGCACCATCTGCTCTGCTCTCGGGGCAAAGGAAGCAGTTGTTGGTGGAGCTCGTGAGCCACGCCTCCGTTCCCTGTTCTTCCTGACTCGCTTTCCTCTGCTGGTACACTAATTGTTCCATGGCGTTGGGGGGGCGGGAGAGAACACAGAGCCTGCCACCCAGGAATCTCTGCAGGGCAGAGGAAGGAGATATTTATAATTATAAGAGGATAATTGGTAAAACAGCCTCATTCTGAACCGTGTGTGTGCCTTGAGGCATCAGGGTGGCTCTTTGTTTTCATGAAAAACCTTGTTCTGTAATGGAAGCAGTCGTTCATGAACGTGGTAGAGGTTCAAAGGGACCCGGAAGGCAGGGGCCGGCTTATCTCCTCCCTATTGTCCGTGTGCCAAGCCGGGGCTGCACCACCCCGGGGAGCTCCTAGCCTGTGCCCCAGTTGCCGTGGGCTGCCACCCACACAAGCACTGAGAAAGCAGCATGGGGCCGGGGCTCGATTAGACAGAGCGATGTGGAAGCCACCAGTGGAGGAGGAGGATGGAGTGGAAACTGAAGTTCTGTAACCCACGTGGCACTGGGTGCCGGGAGAAAGGATGCCCTCTTTGGGAACCATGGCGGCTTCTCCCAAAGGAGAGATGAATTTTCTCCTTTCTGGACCTACTGGGAGGAGTCCTGGTGGCGTAGCCACAAGGTCAGCAGTTCGAAGCCATCAGCAACTCCACGGAAGAAAGATGGGGCTTTCTACTTCCATAGAGTTACCGTCTCAGAAACCCACAGGAGCAGATCTGCCCCCACCCCCACCCCCACCCCACACCCCCACCCCCGCCCCTGTGAGTCGACATCGACTTGATGATAGCAGTGAGTTTGGTTTGGTTTTCGGTGGACCTACTGGGTACCATATCTGTGTCACTACAGATGTCAAAAATGGTCTTCATATTCCCCGCATTCTTGCTCCAAAGAACCTGGAAGCTGCTTCTCGGCGGGCCGGGCACAGTGGACAGACTTGGTGGAGCGCCGTCTCGCTGCCCTCGTCTGAGACGAGGCAGACATTGCGGTGGGCAGCTGTCAGGGCCTGAGGAGCAGGAGCTGGCCTCTCATGGAAGAAACAGTCAGCTGCGTGCTTTGATGGTCACCTGGAAACGGAGCTCTTCCCATTGCTCCAAGGGACTGCTCCTGCCGGGTTTGAGAGCTGCTTTTCCTGCTGTGGCCACTGGGGGCTCCCCTTATGGTGTGGTGAGGCCTGAACAGTAAAGGGTCACCACATTCCTAGGCCTTCCCAGTCAGCATTGCCCTGGGGCCAGAAGTGCCCTCAGCCCCCGTCCTCCCTGACCCTTGCCAGGGTCGCTCTCAGGTGCTGTGACAGCAGGCCTGAGCCATGATTGTTCAGGTCAGAATTGGAATTGTGCAGACAGACACGCTATTTCTCTGTGCCTCAGCAGAGGTCAAGGGAGAAGGGGGCGTCAGCAGGAGCAGAGGCAGATGCCCACACCCCTCGAGGCTGAGCCATGGCCATGAGTCCAGGTCGCATAGCCTCAGGCCAGCCCCTCCTTAGCCTTCATCTGATATGGGCTGATTCCCATCAAATCAACTCTGGTAATTGGTGCTGGGCAGTGCCCACACTGTCAGTCCTGGCATTTGCCCTCAATGTCGTCCTGGGAACGGGGCTGGAAGCTTAGCCCCCTGGGCTCCCCAGGGCTCCCAAGGCTGCAGCAGTACATGCCTGTGTCTTTTCAGATGGCGGAGAGCATGAAGTACCCCTTCCGCCTGGGCATGCGGCTGGAGGTGGTGGACAAGGCCCAGGTGTCACGCACTCGCATGGCCGTGGTGGACACGGTCATCGGGGGCCGCCTGCGGCTCCTCTACGAGGATGGGGACAATGATGACGACTTCTGGTGCCACATGTGGAGCCCCCTGATCCACCCCGTGGGCTGGTCACGGCGGGTTGGCCACAGCATCAAGATGTCAGGTGAGTGGGGGCCCCGAGGATCAGGAGGATGGGCTAAGCCCAGGGAAGCGGAGGTCACACTTAAAAACAGAAGGCTCCTCTCCTCAACCCCTGATCTGTGAGAAGCCAACAAGTCTCAAGGACAGCCACGCCCACACCCCTCCGTGGCTGCTGCCTGGGCTAGAGTCTACCCCTGGGACAGAGGGTAGGAGTCACCCGCTCACTTCCCGGGCAGTCGTGGAGAAGGCCCTGCTGGCCCCCTCACCTCCGTCTCTCCTCCACCCCCGTCACCCCGCTAGACAGGCGCAGCGACATGGCCCACCACCCCACCTTCCGGAAGATCTACTGTGATGCTGTCCCTTATCTCTTCAAGAAGGTGCGCCCTCCCCGCTCCGCCCCGGGCCCTGGGCCCTTCCCTCGAGCCCTCCACCGCCCAGCAACCTGCTCCCCTCCTGTAGGTCCGAGCTGTCTACACGAAAGGTGGCTGGTTTGAGGAGGGGATGAAGCTGGAGGCCATCGACCCTCTGAATCTGGGCAGCATCTGTGTGGCGACCATCTGCAAGGTGAGCCCGGCCACCAGCAGGGTGTCCTTCTGAACCTTGCTCAGGGCACTGGCTGGCCCGTTCACTGGGCCCTTCCTGCCAGTGTGCCGGCCTGGCCACGAGGCCCAGTGGCTGAGAGCCAGCTCTACTGCGGGGTCACCACAGCCGAGAGCTCGAGCCCCCGAGGCCCTCCGCGCAGACTTGCTCTCTGCTGCTGCTCTGGGGAAGCTCAGTGCGGATGGTGGTGCCTCCTGGCTCCCACCCCAGCCTGGGGCTGGGGTGCAGCGCCTCTCTGCCGCCACAGGTTCTCCTGGATGGCTACCTGATGATCTGTGTGGACGGAGGCCCTTCCACGGATGGCTCCGACTGGTTCTGCTATCATGCCTCCTCGCACGCCATCTTCCCCACCAACTTCTGCCAGATGAACAACATTGAGCTCACGCTCCCCAAAGGTGCGACTGGAGGGCTGCGGTGCCAACTCCAAAGGGGCTGGGAGCGGGGATGCCGAGCCGCCCTCTGGCAGCCGGTGCTTCCCGCTGTCCTCCCCTCACTCAGCCTCGGAACCTGCTCCCCCAGGGTATGAGGCACAGACCTTCAACTGGGAGGCCTACCTGGAGAAGACCAAGGCCAAAGCGGCCCCACCGAGACTCTTCAACATGGTGAGGGCCCAGCCGAGGCGGTGGCCTTCTCTTCTCAAGAAAACCAGGCCCTGCCAGGCAGACCCTGGGGCCCAGGGAGGAGGTATGCGGGCCCCTTCGCAACCCCTTGTCAGCGGGTCCTCGACTGGGCCCGGAGCAGGCCCTCGCGGCAACTGCCTTCTTCCTGCAGGATTGCCCCAACCACGGCTTCAAGGTGGGCATGAAGCTGGAGGCTGTGGACCTGATGGAGCCCCGGCTCATCTGCGTGGCCACCGTGAAGCAGGTGGTGCAGCGGCTCCTCAGTATCCACTTTGACGGCTGGGACGATGAGTACGACCAGTGGGTGGACTGCGAGTCCCCGGACATCTACCCTGTGGGCTGGTGTGAGCTCACCGGCTACCAGCTCCAGCCGCCCGTGGCCACAGGTATGCACGCTCACGACCCCCACCCTGGGGGCTCTTGACTTGCCTTCCTTTCCTCCCTGCCGCCAACCACCTGCATCGGGGACCGTTCCTAACCCCCAGACTCCTACCCCCCACCCTATAGAACACCTGGCGTCCTTGTCCTTGTGCACCCGGGAACACCCCACCCACCCCAGGAAACCCCACATGCTGTCTCCCCTCCCCCCCCCGCCAGTCTGGGTCCCTTCATGGGGAGTCCTGGGTCATGGGGGAGGGAGAGAGCACAGGACATGGGACATCCCATAACTCCTCTGGGTACTTGTGCTCCTTAGAGCCGGCCACCCCTCTGAAGGCCAAAGAGACCACAAAGAAGAAAAAGAAACAGTTTGGAAAGAAAAGTGAGTGATGCCTCTGACCAGCAGTCGAGCGGGGGGGAGGGGTGCTGGCCCCCCAGGACTGTCCCCTCCCCCACCTCCCCACCCATCTCACCTCAGTAGCTCACTTCGTATCCATCCTCGTTTCCTCTCCTGCGGGTCACCTGTGCCTTTGGTGACCTAGCTCATCCAACGGGGTCTGGCCGGACAGGAGCCAGGAAGAGCAGGGTTGTAGGCTGGGTGCAGTGTGGGGCGTGTCCATCCACCAGGGTGGCCGCCTTGTGGTGGTGACTTGTGCTCAGGCCCACGAAACAGGGAGGAGGAGGAGAAGGTCCAGGGCTGAATGAGTGAGGGTGTGGGTGGTCCTGCAGGAGGCATCCTGCCACAGGCTAGACCTGCAGGCTAGGTGAGGGTGGTATGTGTGACCCCTGGGACACTGGTTCTGTATGTGCACTAGCCAGTGTGCTGTCTCCGTCCCCCACACCCACCCACCTCACACACATGTACGTCCCATGCTGGATCTGACTCCATTTTTATTCAAAGGGAAAAGAATACCACCCACCAAGTCCAGGCCCCTGAGGCAGGTCTCCAAGAAGCCCCTGCTGGAGGATGACCTGCAGGCATCAGGGAAGAACTCCGCCGAGCCCGAGCCCGAGCCCGAGCCCGAGCCTGGTGAGCAGAGCTCGTCCTGTCTGCGCTCAGAGGCGGCCTCCGTCCATCCTCACCTGGCACAGGAGCGGAGAGATAGCGTTTGAAGAGGCTTTCCTGGGCCCCAGCAGCCCGTCTCACCCACCCTCCCTACCTTTCAGCTGAACCTAGTCTCCCCCCACCCACCCCCAGGCTCCTGGGCCCTGTTCCCCTCCTCTGCCCTGTCTTCCAGGCCCTGACACTGGTGCTCGACCAAGTGGTGGCAGACTGGCTGGCCTGCTCTGCTGCTGCCCCTCCCTAAGCCACCTCACCCCCGCCCCCCCTCCCTGCCACCCTTCTTTTGGAGTCTCCACTGTGTGGGTGAAGGAGGAGCCCCTGGATGTGGCCACGCCTGACCAGGCCTTGAGTCCCGAGCTGCCTGTCCCCATCCAGGATGTCAAGCAGGAGGCAGGCGACTGACCGTCCCGCCAGGACATCCCTGCGGCCACCCCCTTTCCCTGCCCCCTGGAGTTTAGAGACTGAGCCTTTTCACAGAAGTTCACCCTGAATCTGGGGGACCAGGCCCTGAAGGACCAGCCTGGGTTCCCTTCATGAATCTTCTCCCCCTACCCCCCACCCCTCACTTCTGCCCGAGGCCCCAACTCATGTCTGAGCAACTGGAGATCTGGGAACTTGATGGGCAGGGGGGGGTGGGGGCAGGTCAGTCACCCCGTGTGTCCTTCCTCTGCAGCCGCTCCAGCACCACCCAGGCCCTGGGGGCTGCCTAGTCACAGCACCCAGCCACACGGGAAGGCAGGGCCGGGGACCGACAGTGTACTGTGTCTGTAAATAAAGGCTGAGGCTGCCTGGCCTGATGGGTGTGACAGGTGCACCTCACACAGGGGCCCTGGCTCCTCAGGCAGCCGAAACACAGAGGGTCAGTGGCCTGTGAGGTGGTCTTGACTGGTTTTCTCAGGCAACCTGAGCACGGACTCCTATCCCCTAGAAAGAACAGTCAGGGAAGGCTGGACTTGATCAGGGAAGGTGGGGGTTGGGGGGCCGGAGGGTTCTTAGGTCAGGAGGGGCCACCAGGCCACCCTTGACACTCCTTTCCCCTCGTCGTCTTTCCTGAGCCCTGCATATAACTTGATTCTCCCTGATAGTCCCTGAAACCACATTCTAGAAGCTCACCTAGTTTCATCCCAGATTCCAGCTGCCATCATGTCTCCCAGTGTGTCAGTAACCCCTCTTCCTAGAGCCTTGGGACAGCAGCGACCCCCTGGCCCCTCCTCCCCTGGTTGCTTGGGCAGGAGCTGCCCTGCCCTGCACTGGCTCCCTCCACCCCCAGGGCAGACAGCTATAGGCAAGTCCAGCTGCCTTCCCAGCCTCCTTTGCCCAAAGAGAAGGAGTTCTCTCTCTCGCCAAAAGCCCTAGGGAGTCCCACACAGTGCAGAAGCTAAGCCTGATGGCAGAGCTCCAAAGTGACACTCAGTGACAGTGGCCAGGCCTGTGCCCTTACTCCTATCGTGTTATGAGCACACACACACACCCTACTCCATGGCCCAGGCAGTAACATACAGACCGGAGCTTCTGTGGAGGTGGGACCTTGGGAAGGAGAAAGCCTACTCAGAGAGCCTTGCTTTTACTCAGGAAGGTGTCTGGCTAAAGACTCATCTTCCCTGTGGCCCTGACAGAAGGGCTTCTGGGTAATGTTTCCTATGCCCTCCTAGCCCTGGGCTCCTTCCTGAATGAAGCAGTGCCTGGGACTCCAGAGCCGCATGGTAAGGACGGTCGGGCAGGAGCATGTGTTTGCTGCACTGGCTGCCTGGGCTTCCTAACTAATATGAAACAGACCCATCCTGTTCCGCGCCTGCAGCGGTGGCCTCTGGTGTACCACTGCATCACGTGGAAGCCCCCTGAGGCCTGGGCTTGAGTTCCATACCCCTCCCCTGCCCTCCCCCAGGCCTGGGACTCTGTCCCTGTGTGCAGGCCTGGCACTAAATTGCCTTTGGTGGCTAGAATTACTGAGTGTACAGGGCCCAAACTCCAGCTTGTCACCGCTGTCCCAAGCGCTGCCCTCAGGATGTTTCCCTGGAGACCGAGAGGGTGACCTTGTGTCTAGTGGCCCGAGTTTGCCCTGGAGTTGAAAGGTCTGTTACAAGCAGTGAGAGCCCTGGCTGGGAAACATGCTGACAGCCTAGCGACGCCCTGCGTCCCTGGAGCAGCAACTCCAGAAAGGCCTGCGTTTCCTCGTACTTTCAGAGCCGCTGCTCTTGGGATGAAATTAACGTTTGTAAACGCTCTGCCTGACATCCCATGACTGCGTGAAGATCATGTTGTAATAGCTGATTTTCATCTTCACGGCAGCTGCCAGGTAGATGCTGCCCTTGCTCTACAGGTGAGGAATGAGGTGTGATTAGGGTTAGTGGCTTGTTTTAATTTACAACTGAAATGGCAGTGATGTTAAACCTGGTTGGTCCACCGTGCTACTGCTAGCATTCAGTCAGTGTGAATGGTCTTCACGTGCCAGGCACGTATTAGAGCCTCGTGGCACATGTGGCTCACCTCAGACCTTCAGCAAGATGAGCACCCCTGAGTCCGGAGCCCCATATGACCCTCAAGAGCCCTGACCTCCAACTCCCGTGAATTCCAGGAGGAAACGACTCCTCAGCAGGATGAAAACAGGCGGTGGCAGTAGCCATCGCCATGTCTGGAAGGATGCCTGGACCTCAGGTCTGAGCTGCCTGGTTGCTGCGGCAGCCACTGTACTTGGTGAGCGGTGTGTGCATATGTGTACTCCGTATGTGAGGAAAGGGGTGCCGCACAAGGAGGGGCTATATTGCGTTTGTGAGCAGGGATGGTCTTTCCCTGTTAACTCCTTGACCAGCAGACCCCTTGGAGTTTCCAGTCCTGACATCCACAGGAGCTCCTCCAGTCCCAAGTGGGCATGCTGCTGCCAAGAGCACCACCCTCCAGTGCCATGATCTGATGAGAATTGTCACTACTGGTAGTTCCTGGCCTGGTTTTCTGTTAGAATTTTCCTACCTTCTGCTTAGTATCCTGATTTAACTCCATAAGGAACCTCAGCTAACGGCTCCTGAGACACCCCAAATCTTCAAGCAGCCCAGAGCCCTGGCCCCACCCTCTCAGTGTCCTCTTTCTCTAGGCTCATTTTCCCCACTAAAGACCAACCCCCACCCACCTTTCTCCCAGGTGCTAGCTAAACGGGTCAGTGGGCAAGGCAGGCTTGGTTGCTACAGCTGGGCCCCAGACTGGATGGGGGTGATAGAGTGGCCCAGGTGGGGTCAAACCTGTGGCTGAGACGGGCAGAGCTAATGCGCCTGCTCGTCAGTTCTGACCCTTGGTGTGAGCATGGTCCTGTGGTCAGGATGGGACCCGGCTTCCTTGACAGCAAATATAGAAACAGTGGGGCTGGTTTCTATGGACAGGACTCGGGCTGTGGTTGGCTCGGAAGGTTACTGCTCCATGCAACAACATTTAAAAAGTGAACCATCAAGTCAGTTTTGACTCCTTGTGATTCCGTGGGGCAGGTAGAACTGCCCCATGGGTTCCCAAAGCTGGAATCTGGAAGCAACTGCCACACCTCCCCCCCAGGAGCACCTGGTGGATCCACACTCCTAACCGGGTTAGCAGCCAAGCACTTAACCATGGCCCACCCGAGAGGGGAAGGCAGGGAGGGGGCAGGTTCATGGCCCAGCTCTCGGGCCACAAGATCCAGAGACATCTGACCCGTGCACCCCCGCACCTGCAGCCCCACTGCTAACCTGTGAGCTCCCCGGAGTCTTCCCTCAGTGGGGGCTCTCCTGGCGCCAGGGCAGTCTTCAAATGCAGTCACGGCGGCTGCCACCCTCTGGCCCCGGGCACTAGGGGGTGCTGCACAGGTGGCCCCCACCCGCAGATTCAGCCCCGAGAGCCACCTGAGGAGGGGAAAAAAAGCTGAAGACCCTTGGTGCCACCAGCTGGGGGGCTTTCCTGGGGGTAGTGTGTCTGTGAGGGGGGGACAGAGGCTACACTGTGTGGGGGTAGAGGGTATGTGAGGAGGCAGTGTGGCCAGTGGGTGAGAGCAATGCCTGAGGTCAGATCCTGGCTCTTTGACTCCCTGGTCAGTTGACCCTGACCAAGTGTCCAGAGGAGGCTTCAGCCCCATCTCTGTAAAAAGAGGTCATCTTAGGGATACAGTAGTCATGAGCTCCAGAGTGCCTGGGGTGGACCGGTGCTGCTCACCCTCCACTGGCCGCTGCTCACCCTCCACTGGCCGCTGCTCACCCTCCACTGGCTGACTGGCCCCAGCATGCAGCTTACACACTGCTATGCTGCTGGAAGCCGAGCACCCCCCACCCGGCATTCAAATGCCAGCAGGGTCCCCATGTGGGCCAGTCTGAGCAGAGCTGCTACACAAGGACTGCGAAGGAAGGCCTGGGGATCGACTTCCAGGATGAGCCAACGGAAACCTGAGGGGTCACAAGCATATGGTCCAATGTAGTGATGGCAAAGGCACGCTCATGGGAAGACGCTCAAGGCCCCGGGGCACCGGCGTGGCGGTGGTGGAGACGGCTCTGCGCCGGCAAGGTTTTGTCGTGCTGTCGCTGGGGTGCCCAGGCACCAGGGTCTGTGACAACTAACAACCTCATTCTCAGCCACCACAGGAGGGAGCGGTTTTCATGGTTGAGGAACCGGGCACAAAGAGGTCACTAACTCAGAGCTGGGGCTGAGCCTGGACCGGCCTGTCGCTCTCTATGGGTGATAATTAGGCACAGTATCCCCAAGGAGCACCCATCTCCCCGCTCTGGGCATGGGAGATACCATACTCGTTTTCCATTTTACAGATGAAGAAATCAGGATTCAGAGAAGGGCAGCTGGCAAGAGCCCTCCCTCTGAGCTGCTGGGCAGACATACTCCCTAGGGAGCTGGTGCAGGCATGACGGAGCGTGGGGCCTTTGCAGGGCCTGGGCAGGGGGTCCAGCTGGGAGGGGCCCACCTGTGTAGCGGGAGCAGCTGACAGTCGCAGCGGAAGGGGTTGCCACTTAGGTCAATGTCTTCGAGCCGTGTGAGTGCAGGCAGGGCGGGCAGGACCTGCAGCCAGTTCTCCTGCAGGTGCAGGCTCAGAAGCCCGGGCCCCAGGCCCTGGAAGGCGCCGGGAGAAACCTGCAGGAAGCAAGTATCACAGCCAGATTCCCTGTACCCAGCCGGCCGAGGGTCAGCTGGAGAGCCTGCAGTGACCCAGGGAGCCTGGCACAACCTGGGGTGGAAACCCAGTGGGTCTGACACCCAGACACCCTGTCGGTGACTCTCCTGTTCCGCAGAAATTCTTTTCCACCTCCATGATGCAAAGCTTGGGGGCTCCCACCCAGCCCTCCCAGTACAAACAGCTGCAGCCCCTTGGACTGCATTCCTCCCCCTCATCCTGCAGTGCCCTCTCCCCTCCCAGCAGCCCTCCCACTGTGTGGCACTGAGGGGTTCAGCTGGTCTCCGGGTCTCTGTGCCCAGCACAGCCTGGCACCAAGGGGCAGCAACGTCTGTCGAGGCCTCGTGCCCTGCCCTGCCCACCTGCTCCAGGCCGCTGCCGTTCAGGAAGAGCCGCTGCAGAGACCTGCCCACAGGCCGGAAGGCTCCGTCGCGGAGGGCGCTGAGAGGGTTCCCCGAGAGCTGCAGCTCCGCCAGGGCCGGCAGCCCGGCCAAGGCCCCTGTGGGCACGTCGCGAAGCTCGTTCGCGTCCAGGTGGAGCTTCTCCAGCTCCCGCGCGGGGCTGAGTGCCCCTGGGGACACTTGGGTGATGCGGTTGCCACTCAGGTAGAGCCAGCGCAAGGCCTGCGCCCCCGCCAGGTCCCCTGGCTCCAGGCGTGCCAGGGCATTGTCCTGCAGGTGCAGAGAGAAAAGGCTGGGCAGGGCACGCAGGGCAGCCCCCGGCACCCGCACGAAGCGGTTGCGCTCCAAGTGCAGGTACCCCAGGTGGGGCGCCCCTTCCAGGGCAGCTGGGCTGAGGCCTGACAGCTGATTGTCTGCAAGGTAGAGGTAGACCAGGCGGCCCAGGCCCGCCAGGGCGCCCTCCCCTAGCTCAGTGATGTGGCAGTGCTGGAGGTACAGGGATACCAGGTGGCCCAGGCCCGGGAAGGCCGCTCGAGGCACTGAGGGGAAGTGATTCCCCCGCAGGTCCAGGAGCTGGGTGGCATTGGGGAAGCCGCTGGGCACCGCTCGCAGACCGCGGCCCTCGCAGCTGCTGTGCCAGGACTCGGAGGAGCAGGTGCAGCTGCGCGGGCAGGGCCGGGCTGCCCTCTCATCCTCCTGGGGGGCGCGGGTAGGGGCGCGGAGCCGGGCTGCCACCTCCTCCTCTTCCTCCTCTGCGCCATTGCCCAGGCAGCGCAGGGCTGAGGGACGCAGGGCATCCAGGGCCTCCCC